GCGTACGCAGTCAATTTCTTGAGTCAATTCAATACGAACTATTCAACTGAGCACTGGCTGGCAGCCAAAAGAATCCTCAGATACCTGAGGGGCACCGGGGGTCATGGTCTGATGTACCAAAAATCAGATATACCATTGTACGGAGTAGTTGACGCAGACTGGGGTGCCAACACAGTTGACAGGCGATCATATTCTGGATACGCATTTATCCTAGCAGGAGCAGCAATATGTTGGGAAACTCAAAAGCAACGAACTGTAGCGCTATCGAGTGTAGAGGCCGAGTATATGGCCATGTCGGAGGCCACCAAAGAGGCGATTTATCTTCAAGGCTTATTACGCGACACAGCAAGGCCATGCGACGGGACCATACTATTCAACGACAACCAGGGAGCACAGCGTTTGGTATACAGCACTGGCGTGCATCATTCAAGAACCAAACACATTGACTTGCGCCACCATTTTATTCGAGATCATTGTGCATCGGGCGCAATTGAGCTTCAGTATATGTCTACCAATGATATGCCGGCAGACATATTAAGGTTGTATGACCCCTTAGAAAAAAAAATGCCAAATTCTTCAAACTTTGTCAGGTGATGAGTATTATAATAATAAAGCATTGTGCCAAGTTTGAACAAGTTTGCGAGGCCCGTTCAAAAGTTATAACAATTTGAATTTAACATGGGCTCTTATGGGAATTCATCAAGTTTCACTGTTTTTTCAACTTCATTTGAGAAATTAATATCGAAGAAAATATGGCATCCTTTTAAAACTTTGCAGAAATATTAATAAACATCTTACAAACAAATTAGAACCCAAAAAATTATGACTTCGAGGATATTTTCTGAAATATTGAATAAAAACCAAACAGAGAACAGTCTCGCTTGGTCTCACTGAACTCGTAAGTACAGAGATCCGGCAACAGCGCACTATGACGTCACGTTAGAACCTCCTCTCTCCGTCACTCTCCGTAAAGGATAACAAATACTACAGAGGGTGCATTCGGGGAGACGCTATTAACGCTATAAACGCAAACGCTAT